CTCTCTAGGAATAATAGAGCAAAAAGAAAGCTTTATGTTATCAACGCAGTACATCTAGAACTTCAATTATGGTATTAAAGTAATCCAAAAATAGGGCCAATAGTTATCAAATATTTCTTATTGAATTCTGTTGAGGTATCAATTTAATGTTTGGAAGCTATTGTTTATTTCAGGAAAGTTTAATAGATAGGTTATTTAAATGTTTATAAGCAGGTGTTAAATTTTGATTTAGAGTATAAATTGAATAAACTGAGATGATGTTATCAAGCTTGGAGGGGTTTTTCTTAAAGAAGTTGAGTGTGTTTATGAAACCAAAATGCTGATCTTAAATTTGAATTTAAGGAAGATTGATTATGTTACTAGTATTAGAGTTAAGTATTTCCATAACTTTGATTTATGATCTTTAAAATTAAAAATTAAGATGCCACAATTACAAAAATAGTAGCAGTGTGATTGATTGCCATAGCATTGCAGATCTTTTATTAATATGTGTATTAAGGTTGAGATTGAAAAGTTAAGGGTATAAACAATGATTATAATTCAGATTTCATTAATATTAATAATTATTATTATAATATTTTATACTCAAATTTTCAAGTGTAATATCACTTTTTTTAATTATATTTTATGAATTGTTTTAATATGAATTGAAATAATTGATTGTTTGAGATGATAATCTAAAATGAAAAGTATTGAATTTTATTTATACCTTTTTGTATCTATAATATTTATTATAAATACATTATTTTTCAATATTTGAGTATGAATTCATGGGTAAATACTGGGTTTTAATAATATTTATATTAACTTTTAATCATTATTAATTATTATTAAATTATATGTAAACAATAATGTTGTCACTTATTAAATGTTTTTAAGGAAATTCTTGACAGTTGCTTATTAATCATACAAGTATCTTTTTCAAAATCGAATATTTATTGAATGATTTTCAATATAACTAAATTTATTTTCCATTAAATTTCCATTATAATACAAAAGAACTTGTTATCAAAAATAAATTTATTTTCTCTAGAACTTTTAAATTATTTAGATTAGAATTGATACACTATTAATATTTGCAGTTTAAGGTAATCATTAAAGATATAGAAAGATATAATCTATATGTATGTGCATGTTTTTATTTCATTCTAAATAAATTATCTATCCATATTCAGATTGCTAAGAAAGAATTTTGAATTATAAGGAAAATTAGCAGAGTATGAACCTTATAAATATTGATAAATTTTTTGGATAGTCTAAGTGTAAATTGAATATTCTAAAAATGGAACTTAGACAATTATATATAGTGGATAAATATTAAGAAAGTTTTTAATATTTTATATATTATTTATAGGTAATAAAATTGTAAAATTGAATATTAACACTAAAATATTGAACATCTTGGACAAATTAATTTTTGAATTTGGAAGGAAATTATGGAAAAAATAATCAGAAAATAGGGAATGGATTGCATTATGGAAAGGAGAAAGATCATTAGCTAGAGGAAACTATTATGAATTTAATATAAAATGGGATTATGGGTTGAATTAGATCAAGTTAGTTTTATTAATTTATATTAGGTATTGTCAAGTTTACCAATTAGAAAATAAGATTTTGGTAAACTTTATATAATGGTTTGATAATGTATAATATATTTAATATTTTCTAGTTGTGGTGGATTATATGATGAGGATGAATAAAGAAATTGAAGTTGGACTGATTTAAATATCAATTTTATTTTTAATTATTTTAGTTTTTAAAGTTGAAATTAAATAGCTTATTCAGGTATTATTAAATTTGTGAGCTTTTAATGATGAAGGTTTAAAATGGAGAATGGATAGAATTGCATGATAATTCGAAAAGGTTACTTTTGATATACTGATGTCCTATGCAAATGTGTATATAAAATCTAATAATTTCACTCTTAACCTAAACCTATTTTATAGATAATCTTACTCCTTTACCTCTTGGATCTGCCCTTTTCATGCTTTGGGCTTAATCCTAGATAATCCCAATTCTAAACTAAATAGCAGGAAATTATAATAATGAAAGCCAATAAACATATTGAATTTTTTCCTTAATTTCGCAAATAATATTGGATTTAACATCAGATCATGAAAATCAAATTGTAATCTAATTTTGAATATTTTTTCCAAGATCTTTGGCAAACGTATAGCATTATAAGAAAAATGTTGACTTCATCATTAAGCTAAACCTAGCCTGGGGTGTTATTATAGGAAGTAAAAATTCTATAACTTTAATCCAGAATATATAAATATTTCTGACTCTATCAACAAGAACAAAATAATCTAAAACTTTGACAATTGAATAGAATAAAGGTTCTAACAGCATCTCATCATTCTTTATCAAAAGGAATGCTAGTACATCATCTTATGTATACGACACCTTCAAACTCTTAATCAAAAAAACTCAACCAATAATTTTTCATTCTGTTTCTATCTACTTCATCTAGTTTAAATAAATCGAGTAAAGTAAATCATAAAGAGGTTTAGCATTTAAACCATAAACTTGCCCATATACTCTTTCATAATTAATTTACAAAAGTCAGACAAAATCTTACAAATTCCTAAATAATCCTCTATAAAATAAAATTATTAATGAAAAATATTTTTAAATATCTATTTTCCTTCATTTACATAATCTTAACTATATACTAACCTCAAGACTCCCTTATCATTTTGTCAAAAAAACTTTGCTTAGATTGAACTCATGAAAATCTAAATAAGAATCCTGAAATTTATGTACTTCTTAGTTGAATGCAAAGATATTAGTCTATGATTGACCATCCTTGGATATTCAAAACTATATTCCAAATTTTCAGCGAAAGTCCCCCTTAAGGAATGGAGGGCATACAATTTTGTTTAAGAATTCATATCAAACTAGCCAATTTAGCTAACTTAGGGACATACCAAGTCTTGAGTTCTCTCCCTTCAGATTCAGTGAACGAAAGAATATTCAGAAATGGTTTGCAAGTCAGTAGATCCACTCCAAAGGTAGCAAGGTATTAGGCAATCATATCCATATTAAAACTCTTGCAATAATTATCGACACCCCAATTGTTATTTTTTCTTTCTCCAGCATCATAAATTAAAACCTAATAAATTTTTACTTATTTATTTTTCTACTCTTAATTTTATTCTTATCTGATTACAATGAGTTTTATTAATATAGAAATTTATTTGAATTACCCTTAATTTATAATATAATCATTTTAGAAAAATACACTTTTTTAATTTTCTTTTTGGTCAAATGATTCTATCCAAATTTTTTTTAATTTTTGAACATAAAAAGCAGAATAATTATTTTTGTTTATTATCATTTTCTAATTAATTTTGAAGGTTTTAAAGATTATTATCTGAAAACTCTAATCATAAAATTAATAGATTTTTTATGAAAAGGTTTTTTATAAGTATTAAATAGATTAAATTTGATTATTATTTTTATTAGTCTTTAAATATTAACTTAATTACCTATACTCCATAAATTGCTATGGATAGAATATCATAATAATACAATGATACAAATTTCACTAAATATTTTTCTCTATATTAAAATATTTATGAACATAATTCACAAAGTCACATGTAAGAAATAATGGTAGAAATTTTCTCTGCTATTTTTATTGGATCGTGAGAACATTTTGAATTTTAACTTAATATATTAATATACTACTCATTTCTATTAAAATTTATTAAGGATTTTATTTTTATACATAAAGTCTAATTTATTATTCAATTCCTTCTCAATCTTTTTTCTTTGTAAAAAGCCACAATTTTTATAGAATAATATTAACTGGCTTAAAATAATGATGTTAATAAATATTAAACTAAATCATCTCTTATTAATCTGATTACATTTTCTTCATCCTAAAATTATTTGAAAGGATCTGAATTTAGGTTTAGTGAAAATAAAATATTTATTAACTACTTGTTGTCAGGTATGGGAGAGAGAATGTAAATAATCAAATTTATGTATAGGCATAGATTTGTACAAAATCATATTAGTTAAATAATAGAGAAACTCAAAATAAAATAATAAGAGAGAAAGCAAAAATAATTTTAATCTGGTTTTTTTTAGCTTATCCAATGCTTACAATAGTGAAGATATAATATATTTATATGATAATCTATACATATATGATCCAATAAAATTTTAATAGATATTTTTTTATAATGGGGTTCACTAAGGTAAGTAAAAAATTTTGAATGAAGTATCTTCATTTATAGCAAAATCTTGAACCTTAAAGTAAATCTTGAAAAAACATGTATCACCCTTTTCGAGAGAATTTCCTTCAAAACTTAGGAATCTAAATAAATATTAGAAGAGCTAATATTTCATAATTTAATTATGCTAAAAAATAATATATGATTTAATATATTAATGAAATCCGTTTTAGACATATGACATAATTTTGGAATACTTACATTAGACCTGATTTCTAATACATTTCCCTAATTAATATTAATATTGGTCGTTTCGATACTTGAAGAGCAATCATTTTAGACTTAATTTACTTTTATTGCCATCAAGAGAAGAATTTTAAATTGTACTTGGGACCAGATATTCCTTTATGGAACGCATTTAGTAAAGGAGAATGTCAATTTGACCTTTAACCATTTCAGACAAAACAAGATTTTACATTAATTCCAAGAGATTGAATTATAATTTTAATTTCTCAATATAACAAATGCATATTGATCTTTGATTTTCAGATTAATATATTTCTCTTATAAATCCATCCCAATATTTCACTATTTTTTTTCAAAATTGGAGTAGCCTGAGTCCATTATTTTCTAATCCATATCAATCTATTTTTGTTTAGAGCTGTGATTGATTTTATTTTCTCAATAATTGAAAGAGCCTTATGAGATTCTTAATATTGATGAAATGTAACATTTTTTTTATCCTTATTGATTGAGTTTTCTTATAACTTAGGCATTATGTTTGATTGTCCCCTCCTTATTTAATAATAATATGGGTTTGTTTATAACCTTTTTAATAGGTTTATTTCTATTCTTCATGTTTAATTAATTCACTGCCTCGCTTTCAGATAGAATGAAAAAATGATATTTAACATAAATAAATTTTATTAAAATGATAAATTATACTTATTATGTTATAAATTTTAATATGTTATATTTAGAATTAATACAGGATATTATTCCAAAAGTTATTATATTAAAAGTTTGACTTGACATCAAATTAAAACGTATTTATTTTACAAATCACTAAATTCTACTCATTTTATATCTCATAAGAAAAAATTTCAACCATCTTCCTTTTTTTTAATTTTATTTTTAAACTAAAAGACAAAAGCTCACTTTATATTTGAATATAAATATACTGATTATTTAAAAATATGGAAGATCAATTTACATTACTTCAAAAATCAAATTAAATGATAATTATTTATTTATTTTGATTTTAATCTTAATTAATTTACTTACTTACATTAACACATAATTATTTATGTTTTTATTGGGTTAATTATATTATTAATTTTCAAAAATAGATAAGATTCAAAATTTGAAATCAAATATTTAATGTCAAAATAAATCCAACAATCCAATTACAATAGTAAGACTTATTTCTATCTTATAACATTTGGATGAAAAATTAAAGAAAACTAGAAAAATTAATGAATTAATCAATCATATAACTCAATTTTTGTAGAAATTAAAATATTTATATAAAATAAAAAAATTCTATATTATTAAAAAATCAAGTAATGCAGATGTTGAAATGAATTTTCAATAGGATCATTTACATCGATAACAATCAATTCCAAATCTACACAAAGTCCTAACTTCTATTTTACAGAAATGCACAAGATACTTTTATCCATTTTGCAATATATAACTTAAATTAGAGTAAGAGAAATTCAATTTTAAAAATAAAAAAAAGAAAATGCAGAGCTCTTTTTAAGAGAAAGATGCTCTAGTCGGCATCTTTGATTAAGTAAAAGATGTAGATGAACAAATCTATGGCGTCATTTTAGAAATATTAAGTAAGGAAAAAATTTAAGACTGCATTGGATTTCTAACAGATATTGGGAATCAGAGACAATCAGAATCATAAATTTTAAAACGAGTAGGAAATTTCACCCAAGCTGATACAGAATAGAAATTGTCTTTTATTGGAAATGACATGAAGTAAATTACAGATGTCTTAAGAAAATTATAAGTTCATGACTTCAATTACAAAGACTTTACCTCTGAAGAAAATGAAGAATCTACAATAAGTGTTATTAACAGCATCAAGGATAATAGAAGGATCATTGAATTTATGGAATTTTTAGTTCAACTCACTTCCATAAATGAAACTTTAATATAATGTGGGTCTAATTCATTAAATTTATTAATTTAAATGAAGGTGGACATTAGAAACAAAAATTTTGAAAACATAAACATCTAAAATACTTTTTTGGTGGGAGCTAATTTTGTTAGATGCAATTTTAGTGGATCCATATTTAATAATGTTAACATAAGTGGAATAAATTTGAATGGAGCATTATTATTTAATTGTAGATGGAAAGAATTAAAAATTCATGAACTAAATAAATTGGTTTGTCATAAATTTGTGAATTGTCTGTATTTCACCTGATGGAAATACATTAGCATCTAGCAGTTATGATAGCTCTATCCGTCTATGGGATGTCAAAACAGGTTAATAAAAAGCCAAATTAGATGGTCATACTAGCACTGTCTACTCTATTTGTTTCTCATCTGATCGAAATACATTAGCTTCTGGTAGTTTTGATAAGTCTATCCGTCTTTGGGATATCAAAACAGGATAATAAATTGCCAAATTAGATGGTCATACTCAATATGTTAAATCAGTCTGTTTCTCTCCTGATGGAAATATATTAGCTTCAGGTAGTGAAGATAGCTCCATCCGTCTATGGGATGTCAAAACAGGATAATAAAAAACCAAATTAGATGGTCATAGTGGTAGTGTGTGGTCAGTCTGTATTTCTCTTGATGGAAATACATTAGGTTCTGGTAGTGATGATAAGTCTATCCGTCTATGGGATGTCAAAACAGGATAATAAATTGACAAATTAGATGGTCATACTAATGGTATCTTGTCAGTCTGTTTCTCACCTGATGGAAATACATTAGCTTCTGGTAGTAATGATAAATCTATCCGTCTATGGGATGTCAAAACACTATAATAAAAAACGAAATTAGATGGTCATACTCATAATGTTAGATCAGTCTGTTTCTCTCCTGATGGAAGTACATTTGCTTCTGGTAGTAATGAAAACTCTATCCCTCTTAGGGATGTCAAAACTGGATAAGAAATTAAATCTTCTGATATAAACTACAAAGATATTTTTGCATAATTTAAGATTCCACTCAAATAGCATAGCCATATTTCCGAAGATAGTATTTATCCTCTATCAAATTTTTAGCCTCCAATTACATCACTACACTCCTAATATCCTAATAGGCAGTATTTTAAGCAGAAGGAGCACTAATTTTGTAAGGATATTTTATAAATCAATCAGGTATAGATTTAAAGACATTGTTTAAACAAAAGGGTAGCTGTCTTTTGGAGAACCTATAAGAATTCAATAACCAATGAAAAAGATTAACATTTTAACATAATATATATATATCAAATATATCAATATTATTTTACCATTATTTTTCTCTTTAAATGATCAAGTTAACTTTTCTGCTCAATATATTCATCATTACTTAATATTCTACTAAGATAATATGATATTGTAAAATTGTAATGTTTTTCCTATTATTAATTATAAAATTTGTAAATTATTAATTTTAATTACTTAATTAGATAAATTTTTTAATTTTTAAGCATAAATGGGTATTTTTTCAAAATTATATTTATTTTTCTCTCAATTTTACATTCTTATTAC